GAGGAAGCCGGCTCCTCGCTCACCGGGATCGTTTTGCTTTCGCTGACACCTTTTTCTCTAGGGACGCTCAAACCAGACAACTGCAAGATGCTGTCACAAATGTGGAGAAGCACTTTGGGGAGCTGTGCCAAATCTTCGCGGCGTATGTGCGGAAAACTGCCCGACTGCGAGACAAGGCAGACCTCCTGGTGAATGAAATCAACGTGTATGCCTCCACAGAGACCCCCAATTTAAAGCAGGGCCTGAAGAACTTTGCTGATGAGTTTGCCAAACTTCAGGATTATCGACAAGCCGAGGTACGGAGCGAGGCCACCGCGTCATTGGTTGCAATGTGCCTGAAGTAGAGGATGAAAGGAAGCCCGAAGACCCTGCCGCCTTGCCTTCTTGCTCCATCTGTGGAGCTGAGGTGCTGGTGAGCGCGCGCTCCATGATAAACGTGCAGGTTCTCATGTCTTGTAACACTGAGTCTAGGAAGGGGAATCATTCCGTGGTTTCTGTTACCATTTTCAAACAAATGGTGAACCCCTTAAATCTTGAGTTTCCCCCAGTCATGTCCTATTTGGGGACCCAGGGAGGGGAGGGCATGTTCAGGAGATGGTTAAGCTCAGGCTTCCCAGGAAGAAAAGCAGCAAGGCGGCTGCCTGCTGTGCATGTAAGTATATTGTAGAGTGTGGCTGGAGATGCCAGATGCTGAGAAGGGTATGTGAACAAACGATCAGACAGGCAAAATGCTTCCATGCGCTGGGATTTGAGAACTATTTCATTGGCAAAACCAAAAAAATGTTTAAGCAATTGCTGCATGCCAGTAGTTCCCCACTCGCTCCCTGGTGGCCGTATGCTCGCTGACCACGTGTGTTTTGGGCTTTCAAGGTAGGTTTGGAGGTCAGTAGGTCGCCAGGCCTTTCTTAAAAGGCATATCTTCAGTAGACTCAAGCTACCATGCTTTCTCATTAACCCTTTGTACCACCAGTAATTAGACTCTCTTTGTGAGTTTGAGTTTTGTTTTCTGTTCTCCTTTTTTTTTGGAGCAAAGGTAGGTGTGACTGTTTTCTTCCTAAAAGCCTATGTGTTGTCCTTTATATTTGGTATAGTGTGTAGGCTTTAAGACACAGAGGAACTTCTCAGAAGTCGCCCAGTTAGAGCTGCTTTGTTCTTGGTATCCTTTTCTGCCTTCCTACCCCCTTCCTCCCAGACTGTTTCCCGTCGGTGCTTTGGGCCTTTTATTAAACCTAAAACAGACATCTCATTGATCACAAATAAACAAGCGAGAGTAACAGTCCTTGAGCCTATCATTGCTATCCACAACGAACGAGACCAGGAGCTAGAGGAACTCAGAAATTCGAGGAGTCGTTAATTAGATGTGGGGGAAGTATTGAGTTAGCTGGTGCCTCTCGATGTTTCGTCTATAATAAACAAGCTGTTCTCAGTTACACGTGAAAATGGGAGATTTAACTGTTTAAAAATAATTTCTATTCAGACCACCCTGTCATCCATGTTAGCCAATAATTTCAATTTCCTGTTTTAGAAAACCTATATGCTATCCAGTAGCAAAGTGAATTGATTTTCATCTGTTCTCCTTTTATTTCCCGTGCTTACAAACGGTGGAGGTGCTAATGAACAGTGAAATGAACAAAAGGTAGGCTACAAAAAGGAGAACAGGACGGATAATCCGTACACTGACGCATCAGTTTATGGATTATTGCAAATGGTACGGACTAAACTATCCTGCATCTTCATGGTCTAAAGTCTAGGGTTCCGAATATTTAAATGACTGATGGGGGCTTCTTTCTTTTTTTCTTTTTCCACTTTTCGTAAACTCTTTGAAAATGAAACATTCACAATATATTTTGTTTCTAGAGGCAACAAAAAAATCAATATGAATTGAAATCCATTCACTCATTATAAACATCTTTTTTTTAAAGCTTTTTTTCCTGCTATAAAAATAACACATGGGGGTGGGGTGGGTGGGGAAAAAATAGTAATACATGTTCATTTTAAGCAATTAATGGTAGGCCATCTTGTGATTTCTCTCTTTAGGAAAAATTTAATGTCCAAGAGAATTATTTTTCTTATGCTACAAAGTTGTCTTCTTTAATGTTTCCTAAGTGCCTTCCACTAATGGTATATTAGTAAGAGAAGTTACTATGATAACTGTCATGTTTAAGACACTTTAATTCTCAATTTTAAAAGGGAATCAGCTGCCTGGTGTGGCAGCTCAGCAACACAAGCCATTCGCCTTATTGTCCAAAGACCAGAAGCCCACTGCCACGGAGTTGACTCTGACTCCTTGTGACTGTTCAGAGTTTTGAAGGCAGAAATCTTTCTAGGAGCAGACAGCCTCATCTTTCTCCTGCAGAGCAGCTGGTGGGTTTGAACCAGGAACTTTGTGGTTAGTAGTCCACCACTTACCCTATAGCACCACCAGGTCCCCAGATCTTATTCTCTAGGCTTTGCTAAGGAACCCTGGTAGTGCTTATGTGTTGGGCTGCTAACCACAAGGTCAGTAGTTCAAAACCAAGAGCCACTCCCTGGGAGAAAGATGAGGCTTTCTATTCCCTTAAAAATTGTAGGTTAAGAAACAAGGTCACCATGAGTCAGAAACAACTCGATGGCAGTGAGATTTGAGAGGCTTTGCTAATTCACAAATGACTTCTTAGAAGAATTAGAATGGATCAGAGTGTTTTAGACACTCTCTCATTTGAGCAGCTTTAAATATTTCTGCTGTACTAGATCATTCAGTTTCACTTTTCTTATCTGGAACATGGAGTATGTTTTAGAAGGAGTCTGCAAAAGGCATCCAGCACAGTGCTAATACACTGAAAATGTTAGCTGTATTAAAATATGAGAAGGGGAGACGCTGGGCGGCACAATGAGAAGGTGCCAGAGTACTAACCAGAAGGCTAGCAGTTCAAGCCCACACAGAGGTACTGAGAAAGAAAGGTTTCCCCTTGAAAACCTTTGAGGAGCTGATACCAGGGCTCAAGTAGAAAGCAAATGTCTTGAGAATGATGATGGCAACAAATGTGCAAATGTGCTTGACACAATGGATGTATGTATGGATTGTGATAAGCGTTGTATGAGCCCCCAATAAAATGTTTGTTTTTTAAATCTGAGATAATCTTAAAACTTGCCCCCAAAGCTGCTACTTCAGGGGCGAAGAGGACGGTTATGGGATCCTTGAGAACCACTACTCTGCTTTGGGCTTTCACTCTCCCTGCCTAGATTAGCCAATTTTACTGTCCTTGAGTGTAGAATTTTAGTCTTCTCCATTTCTGATAATCCTACCATGAGGGGGCTTCAAAAGTTCAGAGAAGCTCATCCAGTACCAAGAATTGATTCATATGGGCAGTATGACTTCTTGTTTATTTCTTTAACCTTAGTAATACATAATGGCTTTACAATGATTGCAGGAGCTCTAGTGGTGTGGTGGTTAGGAGTTGGGCTGTGATGCCCAAGGTCAAAAGTTCTAAACCACCAGCTGCCCCATGAGAGAAAGGGCTTTCTCCTCTTGTAAAGAGTCACAGTCTCAGAAACTCACGTGGACAGATCTGCCCTATCTTGTAGAGTGGCTATGCGTTGGCATCAACTCAATGTCAGTGAGTTTGGTTTTTGGTTTTAATAGGGTTCAATAGGTGAGTGAGTGTGAGTTGCAATAATGTGTATCAAATTAAAAGCATTGGAAAAACATCCATGTTCTAAGTTGTATTGCAAGCCACACTTATGGGTATGTAATAATAAATGTCTGTTAGTAATATGAGAATGACTACTCATTTAACAAGAAAAGTAATGTGTGGAAACTTTTTAAGTTTGCAAAAAAAAAAATTCTGTCTTTTAATTCCATTTGTCCACAAACTTTTTGAAGTCCTCTCATATTTATAAAGATAAGTTAAACAGTAACAACTAAAAAGTTCTTAAATGTCTGTATAGTAGTAATAAAGCTCAGAGTAAACAGCACACCTTTCGATTCATTTATATTTCAATGTGTCTGTGATTCCTTTCGGTTATATTCTTTTGTAATCATTTTTAATAGGTTGAAAGACTTGAAGCCAAAGTAGTTGAACCTTTGAAAGCTTATGGAGCCATTGTAAAAATGAAGCGGGTAAGTATCTGTTTTCTGTCTCCTGTAGTATTCTGAGAATGAGTATGACGTTTCTATAATTGTCCTTTTAATGTAAAGTACCAAGTAGTGTTTACTCATTATTTTACATATTCTGAAAAATCACTTCTTAGAATTTGGCAAATAATGAAGTATTGTTAGTGAGATTACTGAGTATACTACTATGGTAACATAAGATATCATATTGTTTATTGTGGGAATTTTAGATATTTAATATGTATGGTCATACATATATTGTCAGAGCTTTCATAGCAAAAGGAACAGCTTCTGGAGACTGGCAAGGTGAGGAGGCCAGTGAAGGAAAGATAAAGCAATGCACTAGACCGTTGGTGGGTGTTAACTCGAGTGAAATAAAAGATAATAGTTCACAGAGAGAGGAGAGAAATCAAGGAGTGGGTAAAGAGAAAACTATTGGGGATTTGATTAATGTAAAATCCCATGTAATTTACAATTAAAAATTGGGAGGGGAGCTATTGTGTGTGTGTGTGTATACACATACATACACACACACCATATATACTCGTGTATAAGCCAAGTTTTTCAGCACATTTTTTATGCAGTTTTTGTGGTAAAATTAGGTGCCTTGGCTGATATTCTGGTCGGCTTATACTCGAGTATATATGGGTGTGTTATTTTACTAAATAAATATAAGTTTATATTTTTGCGTTAAAGTAGTTAATAATATTTAAACATTAAAAAATAATGTAGCAACATTGTTTTTTTAAATCAGTCATATGGGAATATTATTTAAATGCAATAAAAGTATCCCATTTTAAGAGTTTACTGAGTTTTGACAAATGGCACACCAGAGAACCACGATCAATAATATATGTATGCTTATTGGTTTACATATTTTTGGTTATAACTATAATATTAATATAATAATATAATATATAAATATAATATAATATTATTATATTATCATAGCATTGAAAAGACATTAAAGAGATACACACACACACACACACACACACACACACACCTTTAAACCAAACCCACTGCTCTTGAGTCAATGATGGTTCATCGGGCAACCCTACTCAGGGTTTCCGAAGCTGGAAATCTTTATGGAAGCGGAACGTTTCCTCTTTCTCCCATGGAGAGGCGAGGGGGGTTGACGTGCTGACCTCGCAGTTAGTGGAGGCTGATTGCTAGTCCCCAGCATCACCAGCCTCCTTACGCATAAATACATCCTTATCATGCATTGCTCATAGTTACTATGCGTATTATGAAGGTGCATCAAACAAACCACTTTCTGCTAAACTTAAAATCTCTTATTTCTTAACTTCAAAACTTATATTAACAAAAAAATGCACTTCTGCAGGATGACCTCAAAGCAACGCTAACAGCAAGAAACCGAGAGGCTAAGCAGTTAACTCAATTAGAAAGGACACGTCAGCGAAACCCATCTGATCGACATGTTATTGTATCCTTTGAATTTTGGTCTATAAAAAATGTTGTGTAAGGTATGTCATACAAAAGTCAATGAGTACAGAAATTAGCATTTCTATTTTTAAATACATGGAGAATCAGAATATAAAGGTTAAAAAGAAACGTGTGTAGGAATTATAACTATAGCACTTAGCTAATTTTAAAGATTCAATTCCCCTATGATATCTCCCATAATGAATCCATGGTCCCCCTCAAAGGGCGGAAAAACAACTTTTAAATACAGATGCCTTTATTAAGAGTAAATTCCAAATCCCGAGGTTTCTTCCACATTAAGAAAAAGATAAAAAATAAACCTCACTGCCATCAAATCAATGTTGACTCAGGATGAACCTATAGGGCAGGGTGTGGGTTTCCGAAACTCTTTAACTCTTTATGAAGTAGAAAGCCTCATCTCTGTCCCCAAGAGCAACTGGTGGTTTCAAACTGCTGATCGTGAGGTTAGCAGCCCAGCACATAATAAGCACTAAACCATCAGGGCTCCTTCCACATAGCAATGATAAAATTCAATATTAATTAGAAAATTAACTTAAAAGACAACCCTAATAAACAATATCCACTTCTGAGAAAAGGAAGGAATTCTCCCTATTTCATTGGTTTATTTAATAAAAAACAACACATGATTAAACCTTATTTATGACTTTTGGCAAACGACCGTCAGGAAATTTAAGAGCACAGCTGAGGTGCCCAGCTGGACACTAGTGAATGAGCTGGGAGTGGCTATTGCAAGAAGGTTCTATGAAACAGGACTGTTTCTTAGACTAGAATGTGCCTTATTGCTGGCTCAACAAGAGACTAGCAATTGGCACCTGGCTAGTTGCCAGCACACGGAGTAGGTGGGATTGTATAATATACGCTAACGTATCCTTGCTGCTGCTTTTACCCATTCCTGCTTACATGTCCCACCTTCTTCCTTAAAGTTGTTTCTGCCCCGCTTCGCCAGGAACCATGTAGGAGTAGCTCTCCATGGGCATTTGTGGTAGTAGAACACCTCCATGCCTGAGGGAGTCCCCACAGCAGTGATTTGAGGTATACCATTCACCTGGTCATTCTTCCTTTAGCTCAACAGTACTTAAGCTCTTCTACAAAACAAAAGTAAGGCAGCCTTTGGGCCAGGACTATCCATTAGAAGCCAGGATAAGAAAGTCTAAATGGTATTAAGGATTAAGGTCTTCGAACTATAGATTATAGAGGGTCTATGTATTTTAAAACTCAGATAAACCAGAAAGTGCTAGAAAATGTATGACTGATGACTAGAGAACAAAGCAGGGGGTAGGAGATGTTACTAGTCTTTGAAAATTGAGCCAAAGATAAAAATTTTTGTCTGTAGAGGCGGAAGCCTGACGGCAGGGAAAAGCTAACATGGCATCCTGAAGTCTTGGCCAGGTTGAAATAGGGGTATTGGTCCCAGCACTAATCATGGAAATGAATCTAGTCTAAGATTCAGTTTTCTGACCTCGTCGCTCTACACTATAGAGTCTACAGTAAATACTGCTGTGGAGAAGGTGATCTGACTACAGATGAAGCAAGTCTGTTGAAAGAAATGCAGCAGCTGAATAGATTATTGCAGCAAACATCCATAGCTCACTGGCAAAGTTGTGCAGTTGTGGTTGTTGTTAGGTGCTATTGAATCGGTTCCAACGCATGGTGTCCCTATGTACAACAGAGTGAAACACTGCCCAGGCTTGTGCCATCCTCACAATTGTACCTATGTTGCACCCATTGGGTCAGTCAGTCTCCTTGGTGGCCCAGCCATTTTGTCAGTCAATCTCCTTAAGGGCCTTCCTCGTTCTCACTGTCCTTCTACCAAGTATGATGTCCTTCTCCAGGGACTGGTCTCTCCTGACAACATATCTAAAGTATATAAAGACGAAGTCTCACCATCCTAGCCTCTAAGGAGCACTCTGGCTATATGCTGCAATCATCCAAAGGATTTTAACAAAAATCCAGCGATTTTAACAACCTGAGAATAGAAAATAAAGGACAATCTTATATAAATGTATTCAATATAATTATATTCAATTATTGGATCATTGCATTTTTACTGGGATACCCACTGCCATTTTTTGGGTTCCTGTAAATCTTTACAAGAGCAGAGAGCCTCATCATTCTTCTTGGGGGTTGCTGGTAGGTTTGAACCGACTACCTTGCAGTTTACAATCCCAATGCTTACCCAATAGCATCACCAGGATAGACTCTGAAAATCATTTGACTCTTTATTCAAAGGAAATCTAGAATAGTTTAATATGTACAGTAAAATGGAGTCATTCTAGAAAAGGACTAACAGGTTTTACCAATTACGTAGCCTGTCCAAAATTTAAAAGGCAACTATCAGTCAATGGGGAGAGGAAAGATAGGAATCAAAGGTATTATAAAATCCTAGTTACATCTTGGGGCACTACCTGTTCATTCCACAAGGCCCCAGGTAGCTTCTGAACAAGCTTCCTATAAGATGGTTTGAAAATAACAGTCTGGCCCCGCCCTCTATAAATCATTTTTGTACTTGTGACTATTTTAATTAAATATACCGTTGATCCAATTCTTGGGGTTTTTTAACCAAAAGAATTTCCTGCTCACATTGTTGCCCCTAGAATGTTAAATAATTTCTAACGAAAAGAAGAAATCTTAGCTATTCCATTCTCTTTGCTTTACTGAAAATAGCTGTGTAATTTGGGGGTGAGATGCTGTTCTCCAATACATAGCTTTAAGGCTTTCAGAAATGAGTAGGAATTGCTGGAAGGTGGTAGAGTGAGGTACAGATGTCCCAGCTATTTCTGCTGCTTTCCCACCGTTTGTCCGAGTTTAACTAACTACTTGACCTTTAAAACGTAAGTATTGCTAAGTGGGGAGAGGAAAGACATGAATCAAAGGCATTTGTTAATGAATCGCATCACTTATAATAATAAACCTTATCAGGAAATTATTCTACTTGAATACACTTTGTAGGAAATTAGTTGACTTGGTTATTCCCATTAGCAAAAGGTTACCATGCCTCAAGTAACTGATAGAACATTTTTTCATATTAATAAATGTTCTAAACACCACTTTTTAACTTTCACATTTCCTGCAACGAGGTTAAAAAGTCTTTGGGATTTCTTTTTTTTATAATTCAACACACTAATTCCTTTAAGTCTTTGGGATTTCAAAGAATCCCAAGCCCAATACTATAGAACACTGCTTTTGATAACAGGTTATAAAGCTTCCCAAACTATAATAAGACATTTTCCTTAGACTCTTGCATTGTTTTGTTTTTTGTAAAAACTTCACACCCTACATAACGAGAATACATACATTTTAACAGCTCTTTTGAGGTGTAAATGCTTAGTATCTTAAATCTGTGTAGCTGAGTTAGCTTGCTTGCAAAGAGTATGGTTTGTAGTTATACAAGATAGCCTACTTGTGTGTATAATTATAGATGGCTTAGCAATTTTTAATTTGCTGAAAAAACTTTTGTATTCTTTTTGAAATGTATTTTTCCTTTATAAAAAATTCAGTCACAGGTGGGTGATAAAGTGCAGGACCAAGAGATGGATCCTTACAGTAAATCCCTTTTACTTGTTTCAATTTACATGTTGTCTTGAAAAAGCAAGCCAGGGCAAGTGGCAAGAATATTGGAATCTCAGATGTCACAAAACTTACACTATTGCATATCCTCCCCACCATTTTACATGATGACTTGTGATACTTTTAAGGACATGAAAGAGTAAAGAAACAAAACTGAATTAAGGATAACTTAATCAGGATTAGAATGTTCCTTAGAATCAGTATAACAATTTTAAGTGTTTGGGGGAAACTCTTGCCGTAAAGGAAGACATAGTGCTTTAAGAGAAATGCATGATTAGACTGGACATGTTGTACACGTTGATATACTGTAGCCACCAGCAGCAAGTGGCTTTTGGGCTCTAGAAATGCAGCTACCCTGAGAAAAATTTGTGTTTTTTTTTAATTTAAATTTAATTAGCCACATGTAGCTAGTAGATATAATATTGTGAAGTTAAGCATTACACTTCCATCTCTTTTATTCATTACTAGTATATATTCTTGGTAATAAGCATTAATTCTTTCAGAACAGGAATATTAGCTTGAAAGAAAAACTTGCCATTAAGAATTCTATGCTAACAAAAATATGTAGTATATCTATCCTCTACCTGATTAGGATATTATAGAATTAGAAATATTTAATGTATTTGGAGACAGTAAAAGTTATCAAGGTGGTGACAAAGGGAGACTCCAGTTACCTATACTCTTACTAGCCCCCAAAAGCTCAATGTTGGAATGGTATCATGAAAACCACAGCCTCTCAGTTTGGAGGATAGCTGTTGATATTTCTATGTGCCAAGCACTCTCCTTAGTACGGTACAAAGATGGTTCCATTTGATCCATTCAGCAATCTTAAGAGATACCAAACCAAAACCAACCTCATAGCATCCAGTTAATCCCAGCTCATGAGGACCTGACAGGGCAGGGTAGAATTGTTCCCTAGGGTTTCCATGGCTATAAATCTGTAAGGGAGCAAACATCTTTCTCCGTTGGGGTGGCTGTTGGTTTTGAACATATAACCTTGCAGTTAACAGCCAAGATGCTTAACCCACTATGTCACTAGGCCTTCTTCCTATGAGATAAGCATTATTATATTTTATTAGGAGACTCAGTTTATGAGAATTAAAAATACTTTAGGTTAACTTCCACCTAGAGCACAATAAAAAAAAAAATTTTTTTAAAGAAAAGATGATAATCACCAGTCCCTTCCTTTTTTCTAGGAAGAATGGCTAAAGGAAAAAGAGAAAGAACGTAAAGGATAGTAGATAAGGGGCAAAGACGGTGATATCTGTGACAACATTTAGAAAATAGAAGAAAACATTCAAGGGTGATACAGCAAAAATGGCTTACAAATGGGCAGTGTTGTGTTTCGCTTTTGAGATCATAAATCATGTCATTTAACAATTCTACTTAAAGTTTTTTGTTCTGCATGTGCTTATTATATAATCCTCGTCTGCAGCAAAATACAATATTAAACAACCAGAGTCTTAGGCCCAAGAGCCAATACAGCAATGATAGCATTTCCCAGTGATCTCAGTTGAGTGGCTCCTCACTGCATGTTCTTGTGTCTTTGGTCGGGGTATCCTGAATAGGCAGAAACGGAATTACAGAGAGCGACAATGGATGCCACCCGAACAACTCGGCATCTGGAGGAAACGATTGACAACTTTGAGAAACAGAAAATAAAGGATATAAAGGTAGTGGTGTCACTGTCAAACTGAAAAATTATGCCTTTCATTTTATTTAAGATCATGGATATTGTAGTCTTACTCTGGATTTTAAACCCATAAACAGTCTTTGCGAAAAAGATGGTATAAGTCAAAACATAACAAATGTTACTTTCAAAAGGAAACAGACAATAGTATCTAAAGAGGGTACATTCCCAGCCAGAGTCCAGAAACTTCCTTTTTCACGAATACGATTTAATCTTGAGGAAATAACACCTATTGTATTTTTACATATCAGGCACTGTTCCAGGCTCTTTACACAAGTGATCTTCTGATCTTCACAGCAACCCTGTTAGAATTAGATAGAGTATCTATACACTGTAAATGAAGAATTTGAGTTTCAAAAATATGAGATAACTTACCCAAAGTACTATAACCAGAAACTGAGTTTTTTTTAACAGTTTTATTGGCACGTATTTTACATAACATATATTTCAGTTGTTCAATTATAGACTTCTACAAGTTAGTGTTCATAATTTTAGCTCTGATACTTTTCCCTTCACCATATTTGAATTTTTTAATTGTCATCTTTGGATCACACAAGCTGGTGTGCTTCTTCCGTGTGGACTTAGATGGCTGCTTGTTCGAATACAAGCCTTTAAGACCTCACACATCATAATAGATTGATAGCCGAGCACCATCTACTTTCTTCACCACACTTTGCTGTAGCACCCTTATATTCAGTGATCCTTTCATAAAGCTCAGTATCGTTTCATGAAGCAGGGCCATGTCATCAAAACTAAGTCTTCTTGGGGCTAAAGTTAATAGGAGCCCGGACTCCATCTTCTTGTCCATGAGGTTTGTACATCTCAGGTTTACTTTGTCGGTCATAGTATGACAAAATCACAACTGCATCAATAAGCCAATCAGCAACCAAACAAACTGAACACCCACACCATCC